TATCTTTTTCTTAGTATCTTTATGAATACATGGATTTATAAATGTTTTATTTGTTGTAGGTCACATTAGTGATTGACATAAATATTTCAGGGGAGATTTAAATAGACATCACTACCTCTCTGGAGTGCTTTAGCCAGAAGGAAACTCTTCAGGTTGGCTTCTAACTCTTTTGGACATTACATTTCTACTCTTTGATTGCTTCCTTCCTCTCTTGTATGGCAAGTGTTTCCAGGCTCAAGCTACACTTCTCCATATTAGAACTGGACTGAGTCATTTCTCCACACAATCCTCCTTACCTTAGTTAGGAAATGTTAAATCAGGATGAGAATCTGGACACTAGTTGCAATAATTTCTATGAAGTTGATCATCCTGTCTAGGTATTTTCAGTGGACAGGGTCAGCAAACATTTATATTTTAAGATAAAATATCTATGAGTGCATACTAAAATGTATCATTAAAATTTAGGACTACAGTATATTTTTACAAAACTCCTTTTATCTTTCATACATTTATATTTCCTTTATCTCATAAGGGGTGCCATGACTATCAACAGAATTAGATAAAATTGTAATATTACTTTTATCTTCATTTGCTTTTTCCCCTCACGTTGCACATAAAACAGTATTAGAATAACAATGACAGCACTACCACCCACAATTTCACTCATACCTAGGAACAGTTTTATATTTTTTTAGCTATTCTCTTTGCCCTTAGACTAAATTCCATTTAGATGTACAGTCCAATCACAATATTGAAAATTTTTTGGAATAATTCTGCATCATGTGGTTATATCACCAACTGAATACACATTAAATTATTTTTATTCCAGTTAAATTTTATTTTTCAGAGATTCGTTTTTTTTAAATTAATGGATTTGTAATTATAAAATATTAACATAGGTATAAAATCAAATATTCAAACTAGATATATTACAAAATGTCTGTGGTCAAACTTTGATTGTTCCAACCTCTTTCCTTCCTTCTCTAAAGGAAAATCTCTTTTTTAAGTTCTATGGTTTACTTTTCCATTGTTTACTATGTTTTAAACATAAGCTTTTGTATGCGCAAATTAACATTTCCCTTCTTAAGGAAATATATATACACTTTCCCATTTTCCTTAATCAATATATACTGAGGACATGCTGCAGTAGTATATGGATATGTGTCATGCCTTTTACAGATGACATGTGTGTATATGTTATTATTTATTCAAAAAGTACTCTCATAATGAGTATCTTTTTTCCTTCTAATCTTGCTATATTACAAGTAGGCTTATGGTGAATTGACTCATGAATTTGCCTTAAATTTTTTTTAATTAAATTTTTTTACTAGCTTCTCCTTAAAATCGAGTCCTGGAAGTGAGTTTGCGGGTCAATGAAGAAGCACATATGTAATTTTACTGTTTATTTCCAAATACCCCATAAGGGTTATTTCACATTATACATCACCTACAATTTATGACAGACTAATCCCCACAGATTTGTTAAAGAATGCTGTTGCATTTTGAGATTTTGCCAATAAATCAGATGCAGAAGTGATAGATTAGTGTAGTTTTTTTTTTTTTTTTTTTTTTTTTTAGGAAGATTAGCCCTGAGCTAACATCTGCTGCCAATCCTCCTCTTTTCACTGAGGAAGACTGGCCCTGAGCTAACATCCATGCCCATCTTCCTCTACTTTATAAGTGGGACGCCGACCACAGCATGGCATGCCAAGTGGTGCCAAGTCCGCACCTGGGATCCAAACAAGCGAACCCTGGGCTGCTGAAGCTGAACGTTCGCACTTAACCACTGCGCCACCTGGCCGGCCCCATTTAGTGTAGTTTTAATTTCCAGTTCTTATATGGTGAATGAGAGTGAAAAAAAATTATTTGATTGTTTTATTTGTGTATATTATTCTTTAAAATATATTACTATTTCTCGTATAGTTTCCTATATTTTTTTTCTTTTTTATGTTTAGAATCTTGTTATATATTAAGTACGTAAAATTCTTGTTTGTAAACTAAGTTGAAAATTGTTTTCCTATACAGAGAATTGTGTATTTATTTGCTTATGTCTTTCGTCATGTTGTCTTTTAAAAATTGTATTTTATTGTCCTGAGAACACTTAACATGAGATACCCCTACTTAACAAATTTTTAGTGTGCAATACAATATTGTTAATTATAGACACAATGTTGTAGAGATCTCTAGAATTTATTTACTCATGACATAACTGAAACTTTTTGTCAGTTGATTATAACTCCCATTTCCCCCTTCCTCTAGCCTCTAGAAGCCACCATTTTACTATTTGATACTATGAGTATGACTATTTGAGACATTTCATGTAAGTGGAATCATTCAGTGTTTGTCCTATTACTGGCTTATTTCTCTTAGCACAATGTCCTCCAGGTTTTTGTATGTTGTTGCAAATGGCAGGATTTTCTTCTTTTCTAAGGCTAAATGATATTCCATTGCATGTATATACCATATTTTCATTATACATTTATCTGTCAATGGGCATTTGGGATGTGTTCGTATCTTTTGTGTGTGTGTGTGAATAATGCTGCAATGAACATAAGGGTGCAGATATCTCTTAGGGATCCTGATTTCAATTCTTTTGGATATATATCCAGAAGTAGAATTGCTGGATCGTATGAGAGTTCTATTTGCAATTTTTTGAGGAACCTCCATACTGTTTTCCATAGTGTTCTGTATAGGTCTGATAGGTCGATTTGATTTGTAGTGTTGTTCAAGCCCACTGTTCGTTGATTGTCTCTTTGTTTGTCTTATCCATATTTGAAAGTATTTAAGTCTCCCATTGTTACTGTATTGTTGTTGTTGACTTAAATAAAGAGGTAAACTGAGGCAAGCTCAAAAAGATGAGTTTATTCTGGGATAGCAGAGGAATTGCAATGCAGAAGAAACTGTAGCAAGCCCTAGGCAAGTCTGTTGAGGGTTTGGGGTGGGTCTTATTTATGGGAAGGTTTTGTAAAGAAGGGAGAGTTCAGTTAGAGTTTAAATCAAAAACAAGGAGGCTGGCCTGTTGGCAAAGTGGTAAAGTTTGCGGGCTCCACTTCGGTAGCCTGGGTTCACTAGTTTGGATCCTGGGCATGGACCTACAAACCACTCATCAAGCCATGCTGTGGTGGCATCTCACATGGGAGAATTAGAATAACTTACAACTAGGATCCACAACTATGTACTCTGGCTTTGGTGAGAAAAAAGAAAATAAAAAGAGGAAGTTTGGAAACAGATGTTAGCTTAGAGCCAATCTCCCTCCCCCCCCACCAAAAAAAAAACAAAAAGCAATTTATCAACAACAAGAACAGAAAAAACATGAACACAGAAAACAAAACCTAACAGAGACCAAACTTGAAAACTGGCCGAGCAGAGAAAATCAGTCCAGTTACACAAAGCAAGCTCAATTTTGCCCACTTTGTGAGACCAACCTGACCTGGGTCATCTCCTGTTCATGTGTCTGGCAAAACTTCCCAAGGTTGATGTGAGACAACCTCTGATCCACCTTCCATCATCCAAGAAAATTCCAACACTATCAGTTGTCTGCAAATTAAGCGTTTACGTGTAATCAGTCTCCTAGTCCTTGGGTTTCGTCTACCTGAAGTCACGTGAGGGAGATTCTCCATTTTATATCAGCTGGTTCTATTTTAGATTGAAATTCTTTCACATTGTCTATTTCTCCCCTCAGTTCCATCAAAGTGTGCTTTCGATGTTTAGGCGCTCTGAGTTTGTGATTTTATATATTTGTGTCATATCTTCTTGACGAACTGACCCTTTTATCATTATGTAATACATTTCTTGGTCTCCTGTGACAGTTTTAGATTTAATGCCTGTTTTGTCTGATTTAAGTATAGCCAGTCATCCCACTCTCTTTTCATTCCCAGTTTCACCAACTATCTTTTTCCATCCCTTTACTTTTAGCTTTTGGTGTGCAGCGGTTAAGTTTACACATTCTCCTTTGGCGGCCTGGGGTTTGCCGGTTTGCATTCCAGGTGCAGACCTACACACCGCTTGTCGAACTATGCTGTGGCAGCATCCCACATATAAAGTGGAGGAAGGTGGGCACGGATATTAGCTCAGGGTCACTCTTCCTCAGCAAAAAGAGGGGTATTGGCAACAGATGTTAGCTCAGGGCTAACTATCCTCAAAAAAAGAAAAAAACTTAACCTTAAATGATTTTGTTTAGGTATAAATAGTTGCTATTTCTACACTAGTGCAAAACTTGAGAATGAGACCTATGTATTTTTTTTAGCTGTTGAGAGAGAGAAAATAGTTTGTTTTCTACTCAATTATGGAAAATGAATGTATCTTAGGAGTCGAACATATATTTCTTCATTAATTTTTGACAATATCTATGTATGTATGTATATATCTATCTATCATCATCATTCTTTGTAGAGAGATATGGAATTCAACAAGTGGAAATATAAATAGAACCTATTTCTAAAAAGGAGTATACTGATAATGGTATATGCTTCTTTACTAATAGATAAATTCCAAGGACATATCCAATTAAAATGAAGAATGAAAATATTTTTTGCTTTTAAAATGAATGTATTTACGTTTTCTTTAAATTATAAGACAACTTTTCATATATTTCCTAGAACATCAGTAACATAGAGAAGGGAATTTCTATCAAAAATAAATGAAATGATAAAATTATATTTTCTGTGTATAGCAAGTGAAATATCTTATCAATGTTTATAAAGAAATTCCGACATTGCTGGGGGCCATTTTATGTTCCCGAAAAAAAACCTCAAACACAATTTCGCTTTCAAAATAATTATTGAAAAGGCTGTAATTTAAAAAGTTGTGCAACGAAGGGGGAGTCACAAAGACACAAGGAATGTATTTTAATGGAATGAAAAGTATGTTAAACAAATATGCCTGTAAACGCTAGAAAAAAGAAAGAGAAAAACAAGGATAACAGAGAGGCTATGCCGATTAGAAGGAGTTACTCAAAATTCGTACTTATATTTTAAATTTCCCCTCACTGTACCTCTAACTCATGACACTACATGTTTAGAATTGTTTGTGAACAATGCAGTCTTCCTCGCCATGTCCACGAAGGCTCGCTTGACTTGCTGATTCCTCAGGCTGTAAATAAAGGGGTTCAGCATGGGGGCCACTGAGGTGTTGAGCACAGCAACTCCCTTGCTCAAAGACACTCTGTCTTTTGCTGATGGATTAATGTACATGAAAATGCAGCTGCCATAAGAGATGGAGATGACAATCATGTGGGAAGAACACGTGGAAAAAGCCTTTGTCCTCTGACTAGTAGAAGGAATTCTCAAAATAGTTCTGATGATATATATGTAAGAGAGAAATATCAATGCCAAAGTGAACATTAGAGTAAACACAGCAAAGGAAAACCCCATTGTCTCTAGGAGTTTTGTGTCTGAACAAGAAAGGTGTAGTAAGGGAAAATAATCACAAGTAAAATGGTCTATAACATTGGACTTACAGTAATCAAGCTGTATGAATAGCATGAGTGATGGGAATATGATTAAGAACGAAGCCAGCCAGGAAGCAAAGACAAGGAGTGTGCAGACTCTCCGATTCATGATGGTCATGTAATGCAGAGGCTTGCAGATGGCAATATAACGGTCATAGGACATGGCAGCCAGAAGGTAAAATTCAGTGACTCCCAAGAGAATGAGAAAAAATAACTGAACCATGCAATTGTTAAAAGAAATGCTTTTATCTCCTGAAATAATGGTGCTCAGGAACTTGGGTATACTGACACTCGTGAATGTAACCTCTAACAAAGAAAAGTTTCTGAGGAAGAAATACATGGGGGTCTGTAGGTGGGAATCCAGCAGGGTGAGGGTGATGATGGTCAGGTTCCCAGTGATGTTGAGCATGTAGGAGATGAGCAGAAAGACGAAGATCACCACCTGGAGCTTTGGGTCATCTGACAGTCCCAGGAGGACAAACCCTGTTATTTCTGTCTGGTTTCTCATTCTTCAGTTACATATTTGTTCGTCTCCTGCCAGACCTATGGGGAAAAGTACAAAGAACAAACTTGAAGAGTGGTGTAACATATCCAAGAGTGGAGCTGTAACACGGCAGAAATATGTCATTTCACCTTCAGGGGAAATTTAAAGCAGATTGATAATGGCAATGATCTGATTTCCTGTTTTATAGGTGAAAACTTTTGTTCGAGGTAGCTTTAAAAGAAGTTATTATCACAATGCTTGAAGTGATTCAGCAAGAATTTGTTCCCAGACTTTCCAGACTCCAAATATTACATGTGAACGCTCAGAGACATGCCCAGGATTTTCCTTCCCAATGAGAACCCCCTTTGTGCTATTGCTCCAATTGCTATACAACTTTCTCAGTCAATATAAAAGTTCAATTACATTGAGAGTTCTCAAAAGTGGGAAAGACGCTTTATTGTTTAAGTGACTGTTCTGTCCTCAGCCATCTATCCACTTTTGCTAACACTCAGCTTTTCCAAATCCTACTACTACCTTGTTGGAAGCCAGAAATGCTAAAGTCATTGCCATGAGTAATTTCAGATGTTGAGATAGAGGGGAGAAAGAGGTGGAAAATCATTTAAGCTGGAAGAGCTTAAAATTGAGGTTGAGGGTCTGGCCCCTTGGCCAAGTGGTTATGTTTTTGCATTCTACTTTCACAGCCCAGGGTTCACCGGTTCAGATCCTGGGCATGGACTTACACACTGCTCATCAAGACATGCTGTGGTGGCATCCCACACAGAAGAACTAGAGTGACTTACAACTAGGATAACCAGCTATGTACTGGGGCTTTGGGGAGAAAAAAGAAAAAAAAAAAGGAAGATTGGCAACAGATATTAGCTCAGGGCCAATCTTCTTCACAAACACACAGAAAAATGTTGATGTGGACTACATCTGAAACCCTGTCAATATTTTATGACATTTCAGCCTACCTCTGTGTTATTTTTATGACCTTTATTTTTATGTTACTTATCACCTTTCTATTTAAGTAACTATTATTATTATTATTATATTGAAGAATTCCCTCAGTTAAAGACTTAGGTAAATGCTCTCAAAGGAATCTAGGAAAACGGTATCATGTCTTTATTTGTACATGTTTTTAAAATAGTAAGTTTTAAGTTTTCTTTGTTAAAAATAAAATTTAAATGGTATTACCATAGATATTTCCATGAGGAAGAGTGAGGATATCTAGTTTGAATCCAAGCCACTTACTACCTTGCAAATTACTTAGTCCTTCTGTGCTTCATCTATAAATGCAAAGTTTATTCCTCTGCAGACAAGCCTGTCACATAAAGTTATTGTGAGCATTAAATGACTGAATATATGTGAAGCATTTAGAAAAATGATTAGAATTTAATAAAAGCCTTATAAGGCTTTGTTCAAGGGAGAAAACGTTCCCCAACCACTGAGCTGAAAACCTTAGGATTAAGGTGGTTTCCTCTGTTAAAAGGTATGTCTAAGATAAATAATAGTGAATAAATTTAGAACCAAGAAAATCACATAGAAATAATGACAACGACAAAAATCAGGTGGAATCACCTGCTTGTACAATAACTATCAGGCATTTTAGGCAAGTGAATCTTAGCCTTGTTCTTGCACTTTGTGTCCACGGTGACCTCTCCCACCATGGTGTGGCTGCCTTCTCCACCACATCATCCCCCCATCCTACCCCCAAACATAATCAACTTCTCTCATCTTCAGCTAGGATTTGATCACCACGTTTGAGGCAAGTTAGATATTTGCAGCACATCGACATTGCTACCAATAGCCACTTCATTTCTCTGCCCCTCATTAGTAATAGTAACTTTTCTGGGAAGGATTGTGAAGCTTGCATTAAACAAAATTTATCTGTGTAACTGGGACTGTGGGCAGCAGATTTCAATGACACCCAAAGATCACTTCTTTTATCATTCTTCTAACGCTAGGTTTAATATTTATTGTATGAGCTCTATAGGAATCTTATACTTGTTCTTCCCAGCCCACCACACATTCTGTGCTGAAATCTCCTGTGAACTCCTCCACTACTCTGTGCATTTCTGAAAGTAGGGACAGAGTCTCACCTTCAAAGCTATTCCAACATAATCCAGTGCCTAGCATAATCATAGTAGGTTTAAAATACATGTCTAATTAATTAGCTAAATAATGTTGAGTTTGTCATTGAATCATACACTGCCATCAGGTGCAATTCTCCATTGTATGCCAAATTCTAGGCTGTACGTTATGTAGTTTGTCTTGTTTTACAAGACATTTTCCTACTTTACCTACTTTTTGAGATATATTTATCTACTTGGCCTGAATTTCCTGTGTTAAGTAAATTTATAACAAAAACATGTAAAGGAAGCTAAATATTTTAATATATAATTTGAAAGAAAACTTCATAAAACATCATTTCAAAATTACTTTTCTTAAATTTCTTCACAATTCATCCTTTTGAATAGCTTTCCTCCTGCTCAGTGACATCACTCTGCCTTCATCAGGGTCTGCTTTTCATTGAAAGAGCTAGTTTTTCATAACACCTTGAAGTCACAAAATGCAATCTCATCAAATACACAAGATTTGGTTTCAATCTCCTGATTGAAATTTCTGCAAAAACTTACTGAAATTGGACATACAGATTTTTTAAAAAAACATTATACCATCACAATTACATAGTGAATAATGTATCATTGGACTAGATTTTTAATCTCACAAACTTTTTTTGCATATTTGTATTTCCTCTTAAGTTTCCCCTTAATTTTAACACTTTCCTGAATAATAATACCAAGACTTATACTTTTTGGCTGCTTATTAAGCCTGTGAATGAATGTATGAAGAGCTGTGAAGAAAGATATTAATAGATATTGGAAAGGCCCATGTGAGCATCACTCAAAATTAATATTTATATAACCAGCCTTCTAGGACCAGAGCAAACAGGCTTAGAGAAACTCTAGCAAGTGATGATCCAATATTACAGAATTGGAGGTGCTGGACTACTCTTTTATGTAAAAACCTTTACGAAAATTCAGCGTATTGTCGTCATTTACCAACATCAAATAAGCATGATAAAAATTGTGTGCATTCATTTATTCATTAGTCAGCATTTTGAGAGAAATTAACTTCAATGTTTATCAAGGTGATGTGGTTCCTAGAGCCTTACCCATCCCCAGGGTGCATTCATGCAGAGTATGGAGGATGTCTCCAGCATTTAACTTGGCTTTTCAGCTTTTTATTTCTGAATGCTGATCCACATTTTCCCTTGGATGACAGTGATTGAGGTTATTAAGCTTTATATTTCCTTCCACCCCTTTCATCATATTCAATTATTTGAGACTCTTTGAGCTATTCAAACTGAAAAGTAACAGTAATATTTCATATTTGTTAAATAAGATTGGTACAAAGCATCTTCAAGGAGCCATTCTGAAAATACCTTTATGTCTTGCCCTTCCAAAATTCCTACCATCAAGTTAATATTAACAGTAATCCTTCAGATAAACTTTATATTGATGATTTATTTGATGAGTGTGAGAAAGGGACTCTATATTAAACGATACATTAAGCTTGAAGGACCAACGCATGGTCCTGTGAGAGACTGAGAGAAGAGCCTTAGACGGGTTCAGTTTTATTGCTGGTTTTTTGTTGTTGTTGTTGTAGTTTTAAATAATGTTCTATATTGCACTGTGTGGAACTATTCGTTAGCAATATAATAACTTTGAAAGTCTAATTGTTTCAACTTTTTCTATGTCTACTAAATTCTCTCTTCTTCAGTTGTCTCATTAGAGATCATTAGCAAATTTCACAAATCCCATCTCCAAAGCAATGTGCTTTATTGATTATATCACTCAGTTTCTTTCTACTTTATGAGTTTAAAGAGTTGTTCAGGGTTTAAGATAAGACACTAGAGAAAAGGAAAATCACTTAATTCAACATTATGGGTAAAGCTAGCTGGGCTTCATGACTACTCTGCATTTACTTTGACACTGCTCAATTATTCTGGGGTTTGTGCCATGAGACACAGTTCATTGAAGAACTTCCCTCCGCCTGAATGAAGCACAGACTCCTCAGGAGAATCCACTGAGTGGTTGCAAAGATTGTCTTATTCTGTGCTTTCCACCTTTATTTCCACAATTCTTTTAAATGACTATGTCCTTGAGAAATCTGAATAATTTATAATCTTCATTTCAATAATGATGGGCATATTCAATTCTCATCATTCATGAACTGTTCATAGAACAAAATCAAGGTAAAACAAATCAACAAATCATATTTAATAATAATTTTAGAAGTAGTAAAACCAATATCTGTTTATGGCAAATATCAACTGATAACCTCATACTTTTATTTCTTTTGCTCGCCAGGTATAATTTAAAGAAAAGTAAAAAGAGTAATAATATTATGTTATCAAAACTCTATTAATTTTTTACTTATGACATTCTAGGGTTAATTATTATCATAGTAAGTATATAGGTTTTGCAGTTAGAGAAACATGGGTTAAAAATAAAAATGGGCCACTTAATGAATTTGTGACTTTGTAAGAGTTACCTAATTTCTTTAAGCTTCAGTTTTCTCTGTTTAAAATGGAATTGAAATTTCAAGGCAGTTTTTGAGAATTAATAGGAATAATGGAAATGAAAATACTCTATAAATCACGTGGCACTTAGTCTTTATGAATAGTTGTTTTATTTACTTTATTTTTTCTGTCAGTTGGAATTAACTTAGGGAAAGATATTCACAGTAATTGTGATTTAGCAAAAACATATTTATTCCAGTGTAATACTAAAGACTTTTATATTTTATTTCATTTAGCCCTTATAACATATTATGAAACGTTTATCTTAATCCCAAACAAAGAATTAGGCTCAGAGAGGTTATATACTTAGATATATTCATGTAGCTATCAAATGTCAAATATAATCTCAGACCACCTGAAACTAAAATCTATTCTCTTAAACAAAGAACGACATAGCCTATATTCAATTAGAAACATAGGCAGACAGGGATAGTAGTTTCCTGCCTTTAATAGAGAATAAAATTGACATAATAAAACAAAATATATTAAACCCTTATTACACTTTTTAATATATCCAGTTGCAAAATATAACTCCAATATTTCCTATTTAATTTGATTGAAGTTGAGCTGATAAGTAATAAATCAATGATAAGGCTGGGGGGACTTCCACTGCCTTCTATATGTCCGACTTACCTCTGATTTTCCTACAGGCTCACTGACACTCAGAATAGCTGGACTGTAAAACATGTTAGCAACTGCCATTATGGTAATCCAGGGAAATCAGCATTTCTGAAAACATTTGCTCTCATTGGACAAATTTACTTTCTATTGTCAATGTTTTTGTCTTAAATTTTCCATTTTATCCAGACAGGATATATTTCTTTGACTACAGAGAGTGAGAAAGGAGCAAATATATGAAAGTGAAAAAAATACGAGGAGGTATTTTAAAGCTCTCTGATATGGTTTCTACATAGATTTTATGTAGCACAATCAGCTAATTTTTTTGTCTATTCTCTCTGCTGCTGGCTCAAGAGGAATCGAAATTGCCAGAACAGGAATGTACACAAAACCCTAAGGAATATGAAACATACTACACATTACTATTGAAATTGGAAAAGGAAGCTTGGGGGACAGTGTCCAGTGAGACTGAGAAAGTACCAACAAGCAAACAAAAACACTAAGTGTGAAATTTGTTTTCCCTTAACATTATTTTTCAAATAGAGTTTAATAACCAAATGTCTTAATTCATGATGAAGATCTCTATCCAATACTCCATGCCAGTTTTTAAACTCATAATTTACCATATTGTGCTAAGTACGTTCATTAACTCCATTATTTTTAATATGCCTTTCAATAAGAATTTTTGGTATCATAATACTGCCAATATTTTATACTTCTTTTTCCTCTTCACTGTTGCTCACCAGGGATGTCAGTTGAAGAGTTTCTTATTTTAATTGATTAATGTTGTAATTTATATGCTAATTATAATATTAGGATTTAGCAACTTCTGTGACTGGACTATAACAATATAATCATGACCAAATGGGATTATGTGAGTAAAAAAAAAACCAATAAAATTGTGCAAGTCCTAGTAAAAACCATGCAGAATTTTCAGATCCTTACAGAGTTTCAAATTTGTATAAAGTAGAGCCAATACAAATTTTTTGTTTATTTTGTTTTATTTTTTCAGATCAGGCTATCATACTGGCTATTATAGCTCAACACCTCAGTCAAGTTACTCAACTTTTCTGAGCATCAATTTACACGTTTATAAAACAAGAGATAATCATGTCTAATTTGCCATGTAGTTGTGAAAGTTAAATAAGATCTAGTATAAAACATACCTAGATCAGCATATGGCACAGAATAAATACACTCTATAGAAGAGATATTATTATTTATAAAATTCCTATAAATCTTCTAGTAGACATAAGACTAATGGTAATTATGCAATTATTCTCCTTTTACATGTTTTATTAAAAAGAATACTGATAAGCAAGGAAAGTATATAAAATGACACATAACACATGCCTTCAGTATAACTAAGAAATATAGGATATTATTAACTGCAAGTTATAGGTAGTAGGAAAATAAAATATCCACGTCCGTCAGATAAGTGGGAAGAATTGAACAGATACTGCAGATAGTGTGCAAAAATATGCTTGTTGTAGATATTTAATTTGTCATATTTCTTATAACTTTAAGAAATAAACTGTTATATTAGTAACAAGAAATAATTTGAGTAAGTTGATTAAAACAATGTACACTCCTTTAGCCATTACTGTATAAAGTATTTTTATTATTTGGAATAATCAGCAAAACAATTTACATTTTACAGCTATTGGTTTCCTGTTCAAAATTATAAATCCATGATTCCATGGAACCTATAGATAGTTTGAAAGGAAAATATAGCATAGCTATTTTTAGGTTAGAAAGGAAGCTTAAGCAAGTGAGCTCAGCATTGCAGGGATCTGCGAGATGGATGTGGGAGGACATTGCAGAAGTTACAACTCATTTTCCCCTTATTTCCTCTTCACAATGACATTCAATAATATTAATACACACTTTCATTTGTTTCTAGAAAACACTACTTTATGAACCAAGTTTTTGAAAGCTTGTTTTACTTGCTGGTTCCTCAGGGTATAAATAAAAGGGTTCAACATCGGGGCAATTGAAGTGTTGAGAATCGCTACTCCTTTGGTCAATGATGCTCTTTCTTTGGCTGAAGGCTTGACATACATGAATATACAGCTTCCATAGGAGATGGAAATGACAATCATGTGAGAGGAGCATGTGGAGAAAGCCTTTTTCCTCTGACTGGCAGATGGAATTCTCAGAATGGTGCTAATGATGCACATGTAGGATAAAATCACTAATGACAATGTGAACAGCAGAGTAACAAAAGCAAAGTAAAAGCCAATCATCTCTAAATGCCATGTGTCTGAGCATGAGAGTTCTAAAATGGGGAAATAATCGCAAGAGAAGTGATCAATTACATTGGAAGCACAGAAATCTAATTGGAGAATAAGCATGAGTGGTGGGAAAATAGTAAGAAAACCTCCCAGCCATGAACACAAGACGAGCAGAGTGCAGATTTTCTTGTTCATGATGGTGGCGTAACGGAGAGGCTTACAGATAGCAATATAACGATCATAAGACATGGCAGTTAGAAGGAAAAATTCAGACACACCCATGGAGATGAAAAAGAATAATTGAGCCAAACAATTGTTATAGGAAATGGTCTTGATTCTAGTGATGATTGCCCCCAAAAATCTGGGGATAGAAACACCGGTGAATGTAATTTCTAAGAAGGAGAAATTCCGGAGGAAGTAATACATAGGAGTCTTCAGACGACAGTCTATCCAGGTGAGGATGGTGATGGTTAGGTTTCCAGTGACACTTAATACATAAGCCATAAATAAAACGGTGAAAATTACAACCTGAAGCTCTGGGTTGTCTGATATGCCCAAGAGTACAAACTCTGTAATCATTGTGTGGTTTCTCATACTGACGTTTTTTCTTTAAGCAAAACCTATTGGCGAAAAACAAACAAAAAGAAAGACTAAGTGAATTGTACATGAATCGAAGACTTAAATATTGGTATTAATAGCTCCAATGAAATGAAGCAATAGACTTTCTTCCCTATAGCATGTTTGCAATATCCACTCACTCTTATTAAAGTAGAAAAGTTTCACACATCCTCCATTGAAAAGAAAACGTATTCATGGATGTACGTTAAAAGTCCCCACATCAAAGACTTTCCCAAAACATCTACATGTAACCACATTTTCTATATGTGCACCTTTAATTATATGTTTCTGCAACAATATTTGTTAGTTAGTTTGGATACGAAGACATCTTTTTCCAGTTTCGAAGATTGTGTGGCTTTTAGGACTGAAATATCTAATTTTGGGTTTTAATGCTGATGCCAATTACAAAGTTTATTGTCTTGCAAGACTTTGGTGGAAATTGATGACCCAGTCACAATTCCTGAACTTAATAATAGCTATGATTATTTTTATTCTTAATGCATATTCTTTTAAATATGACCAACAGAAATAAATGTGTTTGCAATCACAGAAATATAGGACTAGAATTGCCTTGGTTGTAAACTAAAGTTCTTAATTAATGAGAAAGTAAACAGAAGCCAGAGAAATTGATCAATGCTCACATAGATAGAGCTATAACAGTAATATGATTCTAGAATATACCAACCTGTTTGTGTCATTTTTATGTTCCTTATTTAGATTAAAAATCCTATCTATATATATAATATACATTTTTTTTTTTGCTATATTCGGTTTGTCTTTTTACTCTTAAACTTGCCTGAGGACAAGAAGGACCACATAAGGGAGTTTTTGATGACAACATCTCTCATTTCCTTCTTTCTAGAAATAATTAGAATAAATAAAATTATCTTTAAGATTTACTTTACAGAAACCACAAATTTTTAACATGTAATCTAAATGATTTTTATCTACCCATTTTCTCTTTTTTCTTAGCAACCAGCATTTTATCGATAATATAGGTTCTCAATAACATTTGTTGTACTATTTTATTTCTATAGCATGAACTGGGTGAGTCAGCAGCTTATGAGTATCAAAGCTGGTTTTGTGCCTTTTTTTCTTTTATTGATTTCTGACAATCAACATTCTCTTTCTTTAGGAATATACACATTTTTGTTATTAACATATCAGCAAAATTGGAAGATCAAAAGGCAAAGATTGTTACTGTCTTTTGAAAAATGACTGAAATATTAAAATGCAAAATTAATAATAGGAAATATGTTAAAATGATAACATGGGGATCCCTGCAATTATTCTAACAAAATAAACTTTTGGCTGGGAGAAAGATAAAACTACATTTATTGACAAATAGGGAACATACTTACTTTTTGACATGTCCAATAATTCCAGTCAGAAATATAATCCCAGGTTTTTCTTAATTTATTTAAAATATGAGATGTAAAGCATTCATAATGTACCTCAGGAGACTTCTTGTCATTTCGTTCTCCCTTGCCTCCATCTATTACACAGAAGTCTCTCACATGGAGAAAGTACCGGTTTGATTGCATGCAAGGTTTCTATAGATTCTGCTATAAGTAAAAGAATTTTTCATTACCTCCTTTATCTTTCCATATAAACATAAACATTGGTCTGACCTGAACTTCAAGAAGTTACTACTGCAATCTTGAGAGTACTTTATGTAAATTTCCAGGGAATCCTGCTGAATGACTGGAGGGTAAAACATTTCAGAGTCCCCTGGCTGAGATGAAGACTGGAAACTACCCAAAGATAAAACAATGCTACTTTCTCTGGTCATCAGATAAATCCTCAAAAGACCAGAGTGAAGAAAGACGAGGTGCAAGGGAGGAGAAACTCAAGAGATGTAGTGATGTCATGACATAAACTTTTCTAAAAACCTAAGCAACATAGTCAGAGAAAAGCAGGAGTGAACCAGTCACCTTATAGCATCAACCTGGTTTCCCTTTGGCTGGACTTGATTTTCCGAATATGCACATGGCGCTCAGTCTACACTCGGGAGATTATTTATTCTCAATTCCTCTGGGGTTGGTTAAATACAGGGCTGAGCTACACCACAGTGGACCCTTCACTGAGGGTATTCATGTTTTTTTCATCTATACATCTCCCCAATAACAAAGCAGAATTAATGAATAAAGAAAGCATTTTAATATCTTTAAAAGTCAGTAGAGTACTTGAAACATTAATTTTTTATTTTTGAAAATTTTAATAGTAATGTATGCTTAATGATATGAGAATCAAGTGTCTGAGAATCAAGTGTTGAATTAACAGAATATAGTGACTTATGGAATGGCCCTTATGTGTCCAACCAATCCTCCATTTGTCCTTAGATCTTCAAATTAACCAATATTAAACACTTACAGTATGTTCTACAAGATTTTTTTTATATATTCACCCACACAGCCATATTCACGCACTCAAAGAGATATTTTTTCTTGATACACTAAAGCAATTTGACTACACAAAATATTCTGCAATTTTCCTTATTTTCAGTTAACGGTATGTAATAGAGATCATTCCTTGTTAAATTATTTTGTTGCAACTCATTCTTTAATAACATTGCATAGAATACCATAGAAGACATATATAATTTAATAATTTCATTATTTATTAAGATCTAGGGAATTAGATTACTCCCAATTTCACACCATTAGTTACAATGCTGTCCATTTTTATGCATTCATTTGCATATATACAAGTATTGGTATAAAATGTAAGGACTAAATTTTCGTACTTAAATATTTCCCTCCTGCAGACAAGTCCCTTTCATTACGTCCTAACCAGCACTGGATATTCTGTCATTTACAAATCTTGCAAACAGAGAGACAAAAGTGATCCCACAATTCATTTAGTTGTAAAGACAGTAACATAAAGACCAAGTCATGATGCCTGGGTTTCGAGGTTACAGACATCCACTATCATTTTAAACTTGCAAAATTTATTTAATTTTTCTGCGTATCAGCTTTTCTACTTACAAAATGAGAGCAGTAATAGTCTTAACTCAGGATATAGTAAAGATTCAATGAGATAGTGTATAACAGTGCTTAGCAGTGTAGTTAGGGCATAGTCAGGGCTCAGTGTATAAATATTATATATTCTTTTAAGTTTCATATTCTCCAATTAATAGAGAAATTGTGATATTTTTAATATTTATATTTCTCAACAATGAGTTGCCTATTCATAACTTGTGTTCACTTTTCATCTTGTTTATGTGATCTTATTTATTAGTAGGACATATTTATGTATTATGGCTATAAACCTCTGGTGTGTCTTATATGTTGCAACATGTGTTTTATCGCCTATCCTTATCTTTTGCCTTTTTTATAGGTACAACTCAAAAAGATTGGATAGGCTATCATGAATTCTTGGTGACCTATTCTTCTCAGCACATCCTTCCACACACACTTCAAAATTTTGTAAATACTCGTTTACATTTAATACTTGTATGGCGTTTTTTTTACACTTACATCTTTAATTCATCGAGAATTTATTCTTGTGGGGAATACGGATGTATTTGTATTGCTTTTTTAACAGATAAAAAACTGCCTTAACATCATTAGGCGAGAGACAATCAGAGAGTTTGGACAGCGAGTTACAAAGAGCATCAATGTCACCTTATCCCCTCTTAGTAATGCTTCCAGCCCAGAGCTCTCATTAACAAGTTCCCTGAGTCATCTTTCAACTGAACTCAGGGTAGAATTGAGCTCATTGAAATATAATCTCTGTCTGATAAACTAATAATTCTTACATTTCAGGAAAAAATAAAGGTTCCTTAGTGCTCTCAGCATAAAGTGTCTAATTTTAACAGAGCCAAGGCCCTATAAGATCATATCCACTCCTACCATTTCAGACTCATTTCATATCATCCATTTTCATTTTTTCCATCGAGAATAACTGTTGTTTTTGCTTCTTACTTTTGCTTTAATATCTGACACTTTCTCTTCTCCTTCAGAGCATTCACACTCACCTCTGTATTCTGCCTCCTGGAAGTTGTTTCTTTGGCACCTCAATTTACTTCTACTCATTCAGCAATTCTACCTTAACTTTACTGTCATTCTGGCAGTCTTCTCTGATTCTTTGATTTTCTCAAACTCTTATATGTTCCCATAATGCCCTGTGCTTCTTCTTTGCAGTAGTAAATACATTTTAATTGCTAACGAGGTCACATCTTTGCTAGACCTTAAATTTCACAGTGTAAGTTGCACATGCAGTTATTTAAATTAAAAATATGAATTAATTAAATATAATATAAACTCTTCAGTTAAATTAATTACATTTCAATACTCAGTAGTCAAGCGGAGCTAGTGGCTAATATATTGGACAGCACAGATTGTAGAACATTTCCATTAATGTAGATAATTGTGTTGGAGAGTTGTTTCTTCTTTTCGTTATGCTTAAAAAACTAATGAAGTGTATAGCACCTGTTCTAGTTCTAGAACCTAGGGCCTGTGTGACTTTTGCTCTGACCTCATCAAATTGTTAACCATTTCTTGTAATTGCTAGGCATTTTCTCACACACATACACACGCGTACATTTATTTAAGGTTTCATCTAAATGTCATGTAATCTTTGAAATCTTACCTGTTTGCAAAGCCAGAATTAGTTGTTCTCTCTTCTCTGTTTTCCTAAATGTTTGCACTCTTATCTTTCTCTATTGTGATTTTTTGTACATATGTGTGTTTCCGTTAAAAAAGCTACCTAAAGTTGAGGCAATAGCTTTGGTTAATTCGTATTTATGTATCTGGGTGTCAAGTAGAGATACACAACACCAACCTTGATTGTGATTTCTTATCCTTTTTATGTAATACTGTATTTGAATTGCTAATAAAATTTTGTTGACAATTTTTGTATTTATGTTCGAGGGAGATATGGGCTGTAGTTTCCTTTTCTTGTAATTTATTTTTTTTTTCTGATTTCAAATTGGGGTAATGCTAGCCTCATAAAAAGAGTTGGCAAATTTTCTCAACTCTTCTGATTTCTGAGAGAGTGGTACAGATTTAGTATAACTTCTCCCTTAAAAGTTTGGTAGAATTCACCAGTGAAATCATCTGCACTTGGATTTTTATTTTTGGAGTGTGTGAACTAGACATTCAAATTATTTAATAGATATGGAGATACTCATGCCTTCAGTGAATTTTGGTAGTTTGTATTTTTTAGAAATTGGTCTATTTCATTTATCAAATTTATGTGCATAGAGTTGTTTATAATTTTCCCTTATTTCCTTTTAACATCTGTAGGAAAATTCTCATATCTTCTCCTTCTTTCCTGATAGTAGTAGTTTCCGTCTTGGTTAGCCTTGTTGGATGTTTACGAATTTAAGTAATCCTTTTTTAAAAAACTATCTTTTGGTTTCATTCACTTTATTGTTTTCGTGTCCAGTGGATTCTGCTGTAATATTTAGTATGTCTTCTCCTCTGTTTGCTTTATGTTTATTTTGCAATTCTTTCTTAAATTTTCTAAGGTGGAAATAGTGTTTTCTTTTCAATACTACACATTTACTTGTGTGTATACACACAGATACGCAAACACACACATATATATAGCGTGATTTTAATTGTTCCCAAAACTATGCATTTAATGCTGTAAACTTTTTGCTATTGGGTATGATGTTTATATGAGCATTTGTGTACATGTTTTTGTGTGAATGTAAGGTTCAATTCCTGGAAGTAGAATTTCTGGATCATGTTTTAACCCATATGGTAATATAGATAACTTTTTGAGCAACTGCCAGACTGTTTTCCAAGTTGCTGTTCCATTTTATATCCCCACTAACAACGGATAAGAGTTCTAATTTCTGTACATCATCAATAATACTTGTTATGTATGTGTATTATACCCACTCTAGTGTATGCCATTGTGGGTTTGATTTGTATTTCCCTCTTGACTACTGAATTCAAGCATCTTCTCACGTGTTTTTTACTCATTTGTACATCTTCTTTGGAGAAATGTCTACTCATTCGCCTATTTTTTGTTGAGTTTTGGTCCTTTTATCATTAAGTTGTAGGAGTTATTTCATGTAAATTATCCAGGGATGTGCAATACTTGTGAAAGAAAATGACAAAACTTTTTTTAGAGACAGTAAAGAAGACCTGAATAAAGGCACTTCATGTTCATGGATTGACTTAGTGTCAATTAAGATGGCAATACTTCCCAAACGGATCACAGATTTAGTGTAATACTTATAAAAATCCCAACTACTCTTTTGCATAAGTGAACAAGACAGTACTAAAATTCACTTGGAATTGCAAGGGACCCTGAATAGCCAAAATAATATTGAAAAAGAGGAACAAAGTTGAAAGAGTCATACTTTCCAATTTCGAAACTTACTATAAATCTACAATAATCAAACCGGTGCGATACTGGCCTAACAATGCACATTGAGATCAATAGACTAGAACTAAGAGTCTTAGAACCATGCATGTATGGTTAATTGATTTTTAATAAGGGTGTCAAGATTATTCGATGGGGAAATAATAGTCTTTTCAACAAATCATATCGGTATAACTAGATACCTATACACAAAAGAAAACTTTTATCTCTACTTTATGCCAAATACAAAAAGCAACTCAAAAGAAATCAAAGACCTAAATGTAAGAGCTAAAACTATTAAACTAAACTATTAAACTAAAACTATTAATTTATTCAAAGAAACCACAAGTATAAATCGCTGTGATTTTGGGTTAGGTAATGGTTTCTTAAATGTGACAGCAAAAGCACAAGCAATGAGAGAAAAAAATAGATAAATTTGACTTTACTAATATGGAAACCTTTGTGATCAAAGAACACTATTGACAAGGTGAAAAGACAACACAAAGAATGGAAAAATATACATAAATCATATATCTAATAAGAATCTAGTAGTTTTTAAAGGGCTTATTAGGTTTTCAGGGCATTGAATACATACATACATAGACTAACTTCCTTCTATTAACCATGGAAAAGCAGATGGTTAGTAATGTTGGTCTAAAAATAATAAAATGAATCAGAACACAAATCTGAACTTAAATTATTTCTATTCGGAGCTGCCTGGATAATAGTTCGCCATCAAATACCTTAATGATGTTTCACTCATATCTGTCTGATGGCATATTATGTCCAATATGGAGCTCTATACATTTCAGGGATGTCCTTATAGCTCACAGTTTTTATTCGACAGCATATCAAGAATACCCTTTCTTAACAGGCGTTAAATATACGGATGAGTATGTACAGGAGTGAGCAGAGGGGAAGTCCCAAGCAGACTCAAAACATTTATTTTTTTTTTTGAGGAAGATTAGCCCTGAGCTAACTGCTGCCAATCCTCCTCTTTTTGCTGAGGGAGACTGGCCCTGAGCTAACATCCATGCCCATCTTTCTCTACTTTATATGTGGGATGCCTAGCACAGCATGGCTTTTGCCAAGCGGTGCCATGTCTGCACCCGGGATCTGAACCCGTGAACCCCAGGCCACTGAGAAGCAAAATGTGCCAACTTAATTGCTGTGCCACAGGGCCGGCCCCCTCAACCCATTTTTTAAAAACTCTTTTCATTTGTACCAGATACCCAACACTCAATAGTTCCCTCAGTTTATTCTCTGAAATATCTCTGAAAGCATCTCCCTGAGCTACAGATTCATTGCCACTATTGCGTTTTAACCCTCAAGTAACTCATTTAATTTAACACATTAGCCCTCTAACTTGTCTTCCTGACTCCAACGTCTAAAAAACCAACTTCAATACAGTTAACAGAAAGATTTTTAAAAAATAAAAATTTGATCACACAGATTGTTGAAATAAAATAGAAAAGTCTCATATGAGCCACCTGCCTTAGAAACACCTATAGTCCAGGTTTCTATACTGTACTCCAGGTAAATTGAAAATACACTTTAGGGATGAGAAAATGGACTTTGTATATAAGTATGCTAACCAGTGATTCTTTTTCACTCCAAATTTTCAAGTCTATAGACCTACCAGTTAAAGTCCTAGTACATTTTTGTACATACAAGCTTTTAATGAGTTGAAGCCTGTCTTTTTTTTTTTTTCTTTTTTGAGGAAGATTAGCCTTGAGCTAACTACTGCCAGTCCTCCTCTTTTTGCTGAGGAAGCCTGGCGCTGAGCTAACATCTGTGCCCATCTTCCTCTGCTTTATACGTGGGATGTCTATCACAATGTGGAGTGCCAAGCGGTGCCATGTCCGCACCCAGGATCCGAACCAGTGAAACCCAGGCTGCCGAGAAGCAGAACGTGTAAACTTAACTTCAGCACCACTTGGCCAGCCCCGAAGCCTGCCTTTTTTCCTTGCCTTTTGGAATTCTATCTAAACTGAGGCAATGTTTTCCCTCGAGAGCAGCTAACATTTATTGACAGTTCCTTCTGGGCCAGATGCAGATCTAAAAGCACTTTATATGTAGTATCTCATCTCCTGCTCAAAATAACCTTATAAAATAATAATTATTATTATTACTTCTATTTTATACCTGGAGAAACTTAGCAACAAAGAATTTGAGAAATTTGAACAGGCTCACACACATATCTGAATTTAAACCTTGGCCAATTGGCTCAACAGTCTACGCTCTTAATGATCAGGCTTGTGATAACAGCAAGTGACATTTAAAATACTTCCTAGAGCCCTAGTGGTAGTGCATGTTGTAATATTTATGTCTATAAAATTGTATTGTGATTAACATGGAGTTAAAATTGCGTTTTTTGAGGAGGTCAGTATCGTGTCTCGTAGAGTAATTGAAACTTAGCATTTATGTTGATAACCAGAAGAGGAAACTCTTCCAATAGCACAGAAAGGAATGCTAATCATAAAGAGAAGTAGGAGGGAAAAGCCACATTGTGCTGAAAGGTTTGGTTAAAATGTTAGGAGAAGGTTAACGAACTGAAGGACAGATTTAGTAAACTTAAAAAATGAGTAAAATCTTTTATTTACTTTTTCTCCGAGTTTAAAATAATTTTTTCTTTATTTATGAAAAAGAAATCTTTTGGAGAGTATCCTTGAAGGCTTGTTTCACTTGCTGGTTCCTTCGAGTATAAATGAAAAGGTTTAATAAAGGGGGGACTGAGGCGTAGATAACAGCTACATCTTTGGATAAAGTCGCCCTTTCCTTTGCTGATGGCTCCGTGTGAATAAAGATACAGCTCACATAAGTAGGGAAACTACATTTATATGGGAAGAACAAGTTTTTTCTGAGCAGAGGGGTTTTTTAGAATGGTCTGGATAATATATGTGTAGAAAAAACTACTAACAGCAACGTGACCATGAGTGTTCCACCAGCTAACACAAATGAAAACAATTGTAGAAAATGAGCGTCTGTGCAAGAAATCTGCAGCACAGGGGAAGTGTCATATACGAGATGATCAATTACTTTGGAAGCACAGAATTCTAGTTTCGGTCCCAAGACCAATGGTGG